TGTGCGTTGGGGAGGACGATGTCCACATTAGTGGTCCAGGAGCGCCACCCCTGGCTGATATGCGCAAAGTCGACAAAGTCCGCTTTCTTGACTTCCCCATATCCCCAGCCAGGTTCGGCGACACTGTCCGTGAATTCACCCAGGAATTCAAGGCGGTGAGAGAGCAGTTGGTGGGTGATGTCTTATCGGCGGTCCGTAGCCCGCTCCGCCCGCCGTGCCATTCATACCTGCTCCTCGCCGAAGGCGCCCGCCTACGAGAGCTGCTCCGCCCCCGCACACGCCTAAGGCGAAGCGAGCGCGTCGGGCACCTCGGAAGCAGGCAGCCCCCCTGCCCAGAACGCCGCTAAGTCCGGCAACGGACCGCGAAGCGCCCCTGGGACAGGCCATCTGGAGAAGAGGGAACTTGCTCTTTCCCCGCTGGAGGGCGGGGCCCCATTTCCAACGGCACTTTTTACTGCCATGAAAACATTATGAAAGGGCACTTTTCACTTCCCCAGATGTGACAGCCCGAAATCTGCCAGTCTGGGACGCTATGCTTTCTAGCTTGCAGATTCGGTGCGTTTCGCCAGTGGCTCACGAGCGCTGGGAGGACGGTCTCCTTTCTCCCACCCCTCGAGCCTCCCCTCCGGAGCTCGGGTTTGGAGTGAGCAAATATCTCACCTCCAGCTTTTCCGTGGGACCCGCGAGCTTCCCGGATCAGCACACCCACTCCGCGCTGCCCCACTGCTGGTACGTCAGCGATTGTAGCGATGAGTCCATTAGCGAGAGCTCTGCCTGCCTGGTTAGCGCGGGCCAGCTCTTCGCGGTGGCTCATACGCACAATCAGACTCGGCTATGCGATTCAGTTCGCGAAACGGCCCCCCAAGTCACGGGTGTGTATTCACCAGGGTCAGCCCCCTGTCCGCCCCTGTCTTGCGAGAGGAGATTGCTGTCCTCCTGGCGAAGGATGCAATCGAGCCGCTCCCTCCAGCCGAGATGGAGAGCGGGTTTTACAGCCCACGCTTCATCGTGCCCAAAAAGAGCGGTGGGTCACGGCCAATCCTAGATCTGCGCGTTTTGAACCGCTGCCTGCACAAGCTGCCGTTCAGAATGCTCACGCAGAAGCGCATCCTCCGGTGCGTTCGTCCTCTGGGTTGGTCTGCAGCATTAGACCTGATGGACGCGTATTTCCATGTCTCCACTCTTCCTCGCCACCGACAGTTTCTGCGGTTTGCGTTTGAAGGTCGAGCTTGGCAATACAAAGCCCTCCCCTTCGGGCTCTCTCTGTCTCCGCGGGTCCTCACCAAGCCCGCGGAGGGTGCCTCAGCGCCCCTTCGGCTCGCGGGCATCTGCATACTCAATTTCTTTACGACTGGCTGAATTGCCCTCTCTTTTGATTATGCACAGAGTTGATTATGCACAGAGACAAAGTGCTCTGGCACTTCCACCTGTGGGGGTTTCAGGTCAACCGAGAAAAGAGCAAACTCGCCCCCGTGCAGGGGATCTCTTCTCTCGGGCTGGAGCTGGACTCGGTCACCATGGCAGCGCGCCTCTCCGGAGAGCGCGCTCAGCTGATGCTGTACTGTCTGAGAGAGCTCGACAGTAAAATAGTGGTCCCACTGAAACAATTTCAGAGGCTCCTGGGGCATATGGCATCCGCAGCCGCTTCATGCCGCTCGGATTATTCTATATGAGACCACTTCAGCACTGGCTTCACGATCGAGTCCCCAGACGCGCATGGCACGCGCGCGCACACCGAGTCTCTGTTACTGCGCTGTGTCGCCGCGCCCTCAGCCCTTGGAGCGACCCCTCGTTCCTACAGGCCTGGGTGTCTCTAGAACAGGCGTCCAGTCTTGTTGTCGTTTCAGCAGACGCTTCCAACACGGGCTGGGGGGCTGTGCGTTGCGGGCATGCGGCTGCGGACCTGTGGAAAGGTACCCAGTTGCATTGGCATATCGCCTGGAGCTGTTGGCAGTGTTCCCCGCTCTCCACCGTTTTTTTCCGGTGTTGGAGCGGCAACACGTGCTGGTCAGGACGGACAGTACGGCGGCGGTGGCGTATATCAGCCGTATAGGGGGTATGCGCTCTCGCCGCATGTCTCAGCTCGCCCGCCGTCTGCTCCTCTGGAGTCATCCGCGGCTGAAATCGCTGCACGCCATTCATATTCAGGCAAGCTCAACCGTGCAGCCGATGCGCTCTCACGGCAGCCTTGCGTCCTGGAGAATGGAGACTCCACCCCGAGTCTGTTCAGCTGATATGGGCGCGATTCGGGGAAGCCCAGATCGATCTGTTGCTTCCCCCGAGATCGCTCATTGCCAGTTGTTCTTTCCCTGACCGAGTGCTCTCGGCACGGATGCACTGGCTTACAGCTGGCCTCGGGGCACGCGCAATACGCGTTTCCCCCAGTGAGCCTGCTCGCGCAGTTACTGTGCATGGTCAGGGAGGACGAGGAACAGGTTGCTGGTTGCGCCCCTCTGGCTCAACCGGACCTGGATGTCAGAGCTCTCCCTCGCGATAGCCCTCCCCTGGCAGTCCCTTCGAGAGAGCACCTACTCTCTCAGGGACAGGGCACCACCTGGCACCCTCGCCGATCTTTGAAGAGATTTTTAGACGCGAGGAAGACTTAGGTAACCTCCGATTGCGGTGGCTAATACCGTCACTCGGGCTAGAGCCCCCTCCCCGAGCGCGCCTATGCCCTGACGTGAAGTCTATTCACTGAATGGTGTGTCTCTCGCTGAGAAGACCCCCGTAATTTGCCAGATCAGCGTTGTGCTTTCTTTACGCCGAGAGAAGTTGGAGAGCAGGCTGTCGCCCTCCACACTCAAGGTTACGTGGCTGCCATCTCCGCTCTCATAACGCGGTGACTGGCAGCACCGTGGGAACGCATAACCTCATCATCCGGTTCCTCAGGGGCGTTAAGCGAATTAATCCACCCCGCCCCCTCTCATGCCCTCTTAGGATCTCGCTCTCGCTACACAAGCCGCGTCAGATCCCTTCGATCCTCGACTCAGTATTTTCTGTCCCTGAAGACAGCTCTGCTGGTCGCGTTGATATCGATTAGAGGGTCGGGGACCCGGAGGCATTTTTCGGTCAGTGACTCGTGCCTGTAATTGGGCTGGCTTCTCTCACGTATGAGACCCCGCCCGCGATATGTGCCCAAGGTTCCTACCACTCCGTTTTAATACGAGGTAGTGAGCCTGCAAGCGCTGCCCTCGGAGGAGGCAGACCCAGCCCTTATTTATTGTCCAGTTCGCGTTTTGCGTATTATCCGGACCGCACTCAGAGTTTAGATCATCTGAGCAGCTCTTCGTCTGTTATAGCGGTCGGCAGCAGGGAAGTGCCGTACCGAAATAAGTTCCCACTAGATTGTGGATGCCTTTCTTTCACTATCAGAGCCGAGATGAGCCGCGTCCCCCGAGAGCGCGTGCGCACTCCACTCGGAGCTTCGCATCCTCTCGAGCGCGCGCACGCGGCGCCCCTCTAACAGACATCTGTAGAGCTGCGGGCTGGGTGACACCCAACACATTTGCAAGGTTTTACAATCTGCGAGTGGAGCCGGTTTCCTCAAGGGTATTAGGTAACCCTTGGTGATTGAGGAAGCAATTCGGTAGGGTGTTGAAACACGCTTGCTGCGCCATTTTCCCTAACACGGAGATACGTGCGCCTTTTTATCTGTCAGTAAAGTTCCCCGTCAGGTGAGCCCTGCAGATTCCTCCGTGGCCCCCAGCACTGACTCAGCGGAGGAGTCACTTGCTGGCCCACTACGTTGTAGGTCTGCCCGCTGGTCAGCCCGCGTTTTGGGTAAAGGTGCCTGCTATGCGTGGTCCCCACTAGGCGATCCCATATGCTTATTCAGCCACGGTTAAGTCCCCCCCCCCTGGGCGGACCCGTGTCTTCCCTCCCCGCTAACCACTCTTTTGCTATGCGTACTCCCCCTTTTTAGGGCTAGTCCATATGTAAATTCTGCCATCTATCCCCCCTTGGGTAACGGATGGCCTCCGCAGCGTCCTCCCTATCGGGATTGCACGCTTCCCAACGTACTGTCGTATTTTCCTAGAATTATCTAGATGCTCACGACTTCCCAAAAAAATATATATAAATCTGTAAAACTTCTGTTGAAGTAGGATAAATTAGGGCCAGGGACACGTTGGAGGACCGCGCCCCCCATGATGTGGGTGCGTCACGCTTGCTTGACTATCTCCTCATCGGGGGTGTTGGTAAGGTGCAGTCATTATGGCGCTTTCAATGGGCTCCCAATGCGTGGATTTTACAATCAAATCCACTTATAGTGCTGAAGTTCCCCCCGAAGGGGAACGTTCGAGGTTACTAAAGTAACCCTTCGTTCCCCGAGGAGGGGAACGGAAGCACTATACTCCGTCGCCATAATGACTGTCCCTTAGCTGTTGAAAGTCTCTTCAGCTTAAAAAGGATAGCGTCTGCTGCGCCAGGTGAGCTTATATACTCAGTTGATTGCTTATGCCGCTCACCTGCGCAGGCTTGCGCTGCCAATTCATTCTTAATTGGCCCGTTCAATACTCTTTCAGACGAGTAGCTTCTGAACCGAACCTCCCAATGCGTGGATTTTACAATCAAATCCACTTATAGTGCTTCCGTTCCCCTCCTCGGGGAACGAAGGGTTACTTTAGTAACCTCGAACGTTATGGTGCCAGGTACAATCTTGCCTAAGGCAGCAAAGTGGTTGCAGGAACAATGATATTTTGCAGCATGTTCCTTTAACTGTTCAGTAAATTGTTAGTAGGACTAGAACAACCTCTTACAAATGTTTGTTACACTGGTGGAAAAAAGGTCACCATTTATCCACAATTTGGAGCGCTGCCATACATCTTGCATGAAGTCCATTAAAAGCTGTTTTTCTATTCTTGGTGGTCTATTCCTTTAACTGATGCCAAATGTGTCTTGTAAATGCAAATGACACCCTTAAACAAAGCGCTCTGAAGTCTTTTAGAAGATCTATTACAAAACAAAGAAGCAAAAACTGAGTTCTTTTTTGTTTTTGATAGGCTGGTGAAGATGGCGAGATTACAGCTGAAGAACAGGTACAAATGCTGCTGGATGCAAAGCTGCAGTGCCTCCAAAAGGTCTCCAGCGATGACCCTGCAGGTAGGCATCATTTTCTCCTGAATGCTTCTTTCAAACGGCTTTTAATTAAGTGGCCTTTTTAGTTTTCTGCTTCATTCCTATTGCCGCACAGCAACTAAAGATAACCTAGAGTGTTCACCAAAAGTATGACCATCTTCACCTCTGCCAAAACATGTTTTCCGTGAAGCTTGAATGAGTCAGCTCCCTCCCATAAATGAGGCTTGTAGAGGTAAATGAAGTAAACTGAAACGGACAGCTAATGAGCCTCCTTTGTTAGCTGCATCTCTTGGTGAGGTACGGCAGTTTGTTGATTCATTTAGCTTCATTGTAAACTTGTCATGGCTGAACATGTGAAGAGAGAGAGAGAAAAAAACAGGTTGTGACTCACTTTTCCTGGCAGTTTTATTAGTGGTGACCTGGCAGCTCAAAAAAATATTAATTTGGCTCACTCCTGGTTCTCTTTTATCCTTACGTCACAGGTTACAGGATTAAGCGTAATTTAGGGAGATAAAATAATTATGCTTTGTACAAGAAAACAGTGTGTGAAGGACACGAGTGCAATGATTGCTTTCCATTGTACAGAGTGCATTTAGGGACAAATTTATTAACAGCTTCAACTAACAGCTTCCTTTGGCTTAAAAAAAAAACTACTTCTAGGACTGCATGATATATTGTTTCAGTATTGCTATGTCACAATCTGCTCATCTGTAATAGTAAAATTACAGGATCTGCAATGTGGAGTCTGGATTATAGTTGATCATCTTCACATAGATAATAATTATAGAGTCAAACATAATATTATCTTTGTTTTTAAGGCCTGTGTCTATGTGAGCATTTCAAGAGGTTAAAGTGTTCAGGCACAAGAAATTATAAAGTTTAAAAATTTAAGATTAATTGTATTTTAATATTACACACAATATATTGTTTCTGCCTTGATGTCGTATTATGCGAGTCTGCAATAGTCAAATCACAGGATTTGCAATATTATGTTAGGGTTAACACAATATGATCTGTTTTAAAATGTTATAAAATTTTGGAAAAATTTTATTTAAAGGCCTGGAGGATTTTTATTTTTATTTTAAGAGCTGTGATTGTAAGATTTCAAGGGAATTTAAACCATTTGGGCACAATAAATAACATTTTGATGCACTCGCAAAGCTATTTTTATACTTTTACCTGACGCCGCGCATGGACCTCTGCTGACTGCGCGTGCACCTCACAAAGCGGACAAGGCTTTTTATACTTGACACGTTCGCCCTTGTGATACTCTTTAAAACGACAAAGGGCGGTCAATAGAAACCCATCATAAAATTAGACAGATAAACAAAGAAGTAGGAAGTATCCAGAACTATGTCATATCATTAATTTTATTAAAGATTTATAAACTTAATTGTTTTTTTTATTTTTATAAATTATTGTAATGTTTATAAAGGTTTTTTTTATAACCATTCAAGATATTTTAAATCAAACTTTGATACATCACTTGCTTTTGTTCATATTTCGGTTTTGCCTATTAAAGTTTGTTCAAGTATTAATGACAACAGAACATGGCTTGCTCTACAAATATACATTTTTATTATGATAAGAATAAAAGCAAAAAAAAAAAAAAAAAAAAAAGAATACACTTACTAAAGAATACTGATGTTTTTTTATTTAGCCTATTCCAAAAAACACACATTACTGTCTGGCTAGCTTCTGGACTCTGACCATTATCACCAATTAATCTTTGAAAAACAGGCCATCAGTATGTTGTAAACCGATCAAATATTCTTTTCCAGTTGTTAATGAATTAATTTGTTTCTTCATTTTAGTTTTGTAAATGTTTAATTGCTTTAATTTTTAAAATTGTAATATATACATCAGTGTAAAATCTATAAATAATGGAAAAACATTCTTTAATTGTGTATTAAAGCCACCTGGGTCTCCACTTTTACCTTTAACAAACTTATCACTCAGTGTTGTAAAAATGGTTACAAAAGCTTTCCTCTGTTCCCATGGCTGTTGTAATTTATATCAAAGAGTTATTGGTCATTAACCTAATTTGTCACCACATTTAATTTTGTTAGATGAATTTTCAATCGCAGAAGTTTTTAATAGGGATTTTGCTGTCATTATTTTACATGAGGGCAAATATTTTTCAGCAGGTTAAATTCTTCATCATACCTACAATATCAGATTTGAAAGTGAGAGCAGTGCCAATGCACTTTTGTGGAAACATAATTAATGTGACTACAACTCTGAACTGCAGTGTCTCTCAAAATGTAGAAATGCACAAATACCACAGTGGATTGTAACACTACATGTTCTGACTAGCAGGAGGTTGTATTAATTATTGAAGCAAGCCTGTTGGCATGTCGAGGTGCTCTTAAGGTTTAGCTTGACCTTCAGCCTTCAGTTCCCAATTTAAAAATAAAAGTCTACTCAAAAGTGGGGCCATCGGGTGCACATTTTTCATGAATTTCTTTTTAACAAATAGATTCAATTTTACATTTCTGTTAATCTTGAATATGCCACAAAAGAAAACAAGGAGAGCAAATTACAGAACAGCACAGGACTTTTTCTGAATTATTCCGGATGAACGGTTTGAAAGCACTTCATGGTCTAATGTTTTCAAACTGAACGCTTCATTACCTCTGCGATCTGATGTTGGATGAAATCTGTGACTGCTGGACACACTCTGTTTAAACCACTGCTGATATATTGAATCTGTTCAGCTGCCTGACAAAAATTTTATCATTTTTCCTCATCTTTTTATTTCAACAAAAATAATTTCAGTCATTTTTATGGCCATAAATTGTTTTAGTTCGAGAAAGAAAAGCACATTGATTTTCAATCAGTACAAGTTCAGCATTTATAATTGAATTAAACACACATACTGCATGTATCGTTTCTTTCACAACATTTCTTCATGATGTGCCAGTGTGGGTTAAACACGTAGGCGCTCATGCCAGTTGGACAGAATCCAATATCCACACAACACAATAAAAATCACCCAAAGGTGTACAAATGACACTGAGCAATATTTCTAACAGATTTTTTTATTGAGCAGCTACTATCCAAAGGAAAGCATTAATGAATCATTGTGGCAGTGTCTCATTTAATGTTTATCATCCTGCTGGATCTACTGTAATTACCAGGAAGGAATGAAAATGTGTGAGACGCTTGTGTGGTGCCATGTTATTCTGCAAGACTGGAGGATTTTGCTGGTCACATCTGAAGTTGTTAATTGACGCCTCTGTTTTGTTCTGCTCTTAGTTGGTGTGTGTGTCCCAGAGTGGGATGGTCTGATATGTTGGCCACAAGGCTTTCCTGGGACGCTGACCAAGACACCCTGCCCCGGATACATCTATGACTTCAACCATGCAGGTAAAAAAAAAAGTCAGAATTGTAAAGAAGAAGAAAACCTATAAACTCAGACAAATGTTAGAATTACAGAATATACATTTTGCAGTTTTGATTGGCAATCTTTGTGATGTGGTTTGCTGAACCCAGATTAGGCATAGTTCTAGACAAAAATGGCTCTTTAAATCTAATTAACAGAAATAATACTCTTAGGCCCAGTTTCACAAAAAGAGCTTCGATTAAGCCAGGACTAAACCTTAGATAATTTAGGCTATTTAAGCCACATTTTTTAAATGACCTTAGAAAAATATATTACTGGTGTGTACCTGGAGACAAAAAAAAAAAAAAAAAAAATTACAATGACATATTTTAAGACATCTCCCTGCAAGTTATTTTGAGTTGAGATAGCTCAAACATGCAATTTAATCTTGACTAGCCTTAAACCTTGTTTGCGAAACCGGGGGTTAGACTCTTAGACTAGTTAAAAATTTAATAAACTGATTTCTTGTAGGAACACTAAAGCTACTTTAGGACTAATTTGACTTTTACATTCAACCTACCAGGACACCTGTTTAATTTCAGGCTCATGTCATTTGGAGGGCACATGGATTATGAGGACCAATAAAGACCAATGTTTATTACAAGCTAGACCCGCCATTGCAGGCAGAAGTTGCCCATTTAAACATCTTTTACATGCATGCATAATGTATAACATTCATTCATTAATTTTACTTTGGCTTAGTCCCTTTATTCATCAGGGGTCACCACACTGGAATGAATCGCCAACTTATCCAGCATATGTTTTAAACAGTGGATGCCCTTCCAGATGCAACCCAATACTGAGAAACATCCATACACACTCATTTACTAAGGCTAATTCACAATTCATCTATAGCACATGTCTTTGGACTGTGGGGGAGCACCCAGAAGAAACCCATGCATACATGGGGAGAACATGTCAAACACAGAAATGCCAACTGACCCTGCTGGGTCTCAAATCAGTGACCTTCTTCCTTTGAGGAAACAGTGCTACCCACCGAGCCACTGTGCATATCAAGTATAATATAATAAATTATTATAAATAATATTATTGTATCATTATGGAACTTTTAGGTACAAATAGCTGCATTTGATGTAAACCAAACCCCTGTTGGCCAGTTAGAAAGAAGAAAATAGTGCTCACACTGATGTTTTGAGGCAAAAACTCCAGTTGTAATCTCTACACAACCACACAGTACCCAGAGTTTAGAAAAATTGTCGCCCAGAGTTTTCAGATAATTTCAGTTTCAGTCACTTGCTACTACATTTTTGTGTGGACGAATTGCCTAACATGTATAAAAAAAATTGTGGTTGTGAGTTCGTATGGACAGGGGCCAGGGCCTTAGGCACAACAGTGTACACATGGTACTTTTTGAAAGGGTACTGCCCCAGAGACAGCCTGTGTACTTTTTTCTAAGAGTGTACTTGTTCACACAATTGCCTTTAAAGGTGATTGATTAAGCCTGTATCAGGGGGTATCAAGAAAACAAAGCTCATCTTTCCAGTTGTTACGATTATTTAAGATGAAAATGCTAGGGTTACCGTAACATTTAAAATTTTATGAACCCTTTATGAAAGGTGGTGGTAATGGAGCAAACAAACAATTATGCCAAAATAAGTGTATTTATTTACAAGATAAATAAAGTATAACACCAAAATATATACAAGATAAAAAAAACTAAAATAAATGGTTGTATTAAAGGGGGAAGAGAAACAAAAGCGGCAACTGGAAACCCACAATCTCTAAACTGGCAGCCCTAAGAAATGACAGCTTAAGAAAGAGCAAGAGCAAGAGAGACAGAGAGAGCTACAGTAGCACAGACAGTGGGCCATAACACCAGTTTTTTCATCATTCTCATTGTACTCATTGTTTATATGCATCAAAGGGTTAAATTGATTTCCAGATATCTCTTTTCTTTGATTCAACAGCTGCTGTGTGCAGTCTATAATCAATAACAGGAAATATTGAAACTGTTCCTCATGTTCATAAAAGCTTTTTGACCACACTTTCTTTTCAGCTGCCATTGTAATAAGTTTCTTGACTGCATAAAACTCTAAAGTTTTATAGACAACCACAACCCAGCAAGTTCTCATTTATGGTTTTAAATGAATCAAGTTTATATTAGTCTAGGTGTTAGCAATATATGCTGTGTTTCAGAAAGCAACTTTCAAGCCATTATTTACTAATCTAGATTAAGGTCTAATTTAAACTCTTTTTAGGAAGCTGCGCATACAGTTGAAGTCAGAATTATAAGCCCCCTTTGAATTTTTTTTTTTTTTTTACATTTCCCTAATGATGTGCAACAGAGCAAGGAAATTTTCACAGTTTGTCGGATTTTTTCTTCTGGAGAAAGTCTTATTTGTTTTATTTCGGCTAGAATAAAAGCCGCTTTAAAGTTTTTAAAAATCATTTTAAGGTCATTTTAAGCTCCTTTAAGCTATACATTTTTTCTATAGTCTACAGATCCAACCATCATTATACAATTGTAGCGTACAGTCCAAAGATAAAATTACTTGTTGATTTTATCACGGAGTATTTCGCATGGATTTTACGACTCCTGGCTCCAAGAAGTCTGGATTTTCGTGACAGCTTAAATAATCTAGGGAAACTGGAGAGATAAGCCTGGAACTTCAAAGACATTCCTGCCCAAATACACACACACACACAAACACACACACACACACACACACACACACACACACACACACACACACACACACACACACACACACACAAACACACACACACACACACACACACACACACACACACACACACACACACACACACACACACACACACACACACACACACACACACACACACACACCCACAAGGCTGTTCCGACAGAAAAGAAAATGAACTCAAAAATCCTGGACCAGCACAAAACAAAAAAAAGTATTATGTTTTGTAAACTTTGTATCTCATTTCTGACTTTTCTTACCTGTGTAACCTCTCTTATAACCTGTATGCCTGTTTCTTTTAGGCCTTTTTAAATCATAAATAATGTAAGGATATGAAAAATTATGTTGATGTACTTTTAAACCCCCCATGTTTGGTACCGATGGGTTTCTGCTGACATTTTACAACACATGATGCATCGAGCAAGATCATAACTCGCATTGCTTTATTCTTTAAATCCCTGTATTAAATGCCTGTCCGCATGCTTTGGGCGGACACTCAAATTTGCATACGAGCAACCTCGAGACAAAGAAAGGATTCGCGCCCAAACTTTGTCCTGAAATCATTGGTCAGAATGCTGAACGGGTTGTCACATGACCCGCAGGTATAACCAGACTTCTCCCCAAACATCCTAGAGAACGTCCGAACAAAGAACCCATCAAAAGGTGGCCCCTTGGGCCACGCGGCTCTTCTAAGCCGCATGAACTTTTCCAGCCACGCTTTCTTTATTTTCCGGCAAAGTAAACTCAGTTTAAAGTTTGCGATCGTGTTCGTCCGAACTGCATTACAAACTCCATGCATCAAGAAGGACATCAAAAGGAGTTTCATCAGGAAGAGACCCGAATAAAGAGAGAGACCTCCAGACATGAAAGCCCAGGTATTTTAAGTTATGCGAATAAGCTGTGCCCCTTTTATCAAAAAGGTGTTTTTTATAATCTTGGTGGTCCTTAATGGTGCGTGAGGAACTGAAAGTTTTGTCACTCTTTTATCTGAAATCTCTATTTCCTCGCTTTACTATTTCTCTTTGTTGTTACACGTTCTATAGACCCGATATCTCCACGTGGTTTACCTTTGTTCCGTGTTTAATGTATGTTTGTGCGTTTGTTTGTCATTTGTCTGACTAGTCAATAAATTCCATTTATAATCAAATTAATTGTATTGTTTGCCTCACGAGAAAATGTCACTGAAATACAGAATCCCCTGCCTAGCTATTATAAGTTGTTTAAAACTTTTGAATGATTAATCTACTTCACAAGAAGTAGCAATTAAATTCCCTTTTTCTAAATGAATAGATTACCGTGTCCGCTCGGAAGAGTGGCCACTCTCTTTGTGTTTGTTTGGTCAAATTAACAATAAATTGATCCGGAATATTAATGATTAATAATAATTCGTTATTATTGATAATTAATATTCATAATCTGGGAATCCGCTCGGTCGCGCGAGCATGATCATTACAATCATATGTTTGTTTGACGAAATTGACTGAAGCTTAAGCCGGAATATTAATGACTAAAAATAAACCGTTATTGTTGATTATTAATATTCATAAAATGAGCTAATTTCTGTTACACAATAACTTGCCTAATTATCCTAACCCACCTAGTAGAGCTGCACGATTGTGGCTAAAATGAGAATCGCGATTTTTTTACTTAAAATAAAGATCACGATTTTCTCACGATTCTGTAGATGTAAAATAAAGGTATGGTAAAAACAAACATATGGCATAAGATCGATAATAATATTATGTGTAGGTCTACTGGTTTCTATAAATAATTCTATTCTACTTATACTAATTATGATGTTGAATTATTATGTTTGAGATATATGCTTGCAATCTGTCATATTAGACAAATTTATTCACTGGTAAAATCAGACATTTGCCATTATCAGATTATATTCAACAATATATAGGCTAGAGTAATTATACTGACATTTTAAACATTTATTTTCATGCACAGCTGTGGGTTCGCTATGAAAGAAAAAACATATCAAATGCTTGCCGTAATCATAACTTTAAAATGCGATATGATCATTTAAATGAAGTGCACACTTTCGGTTTCATTTTAACTGCTAAGTGCTTGTTCATACTTTGCGCGCGGCTCTCAAACGATTACTCTGTGCCACAAACAGAATATTATTTACAACTGTATTACCTGTTACTCGCAACATATGCAGGTTCTGTTCACTAAAGTAGACGCGCACGTGTCCCGGATGCAGAAACTCACTCAACATCATTTGGAGGTGTCAATGTCACTGAGCAACGTATGTGAAACAATGAAAAGACTCGTGTAGCTGCTTTTTCTTCTCTCCTGAACTTGAAAATATGATATGCAGAATCGTAGAAATGCTGTATTAAGATCGACTAGGGGGTCGAATCGAGATCACAATCTTTTAACAATTAATTGTGCAGCTCTACCGCCTAGTTAACCTAGTTAACCTAGTTAGCTGCTAAATGTATAGAAGTGTCTTGAAAAATATCTTGTCAAATATTATTTATTGTCATCATGGCAAAGAGAAAATAAATCAGAAAATAAATCATTATTAGAAATGAGTTAATAAAACTATTATGTTTAGAAATGTGCTAAAAAATCTCTCTGTTAAACAGAAAGTGGGGAAAAAAAATAAAAAGGGGGCTAATAATTCAGTGCTTCTAATAATTATGACTTCAACTGTATCTCACAGTCACAAATCTCACAATTTTGACTCATTATTAAAGAGAAAATACTGAATGCTTAACAATGGTTTTGTTATAGTTGTTTATTATAGTCAAAGTGTAATAATCAGGTTGTTTCAGTAGATTGTTTAAGTTTACCCACTGCATGTCTTGTTTAATTTGTGGCTTGCAACTACTGTACAATAGCCATGTTTTTTTGTTAGCTTTTTTTTTTATTATTTTTGGTAAATTTTCATAATGGCTAGCGTACTGTGTGCACTTTCTGGTTTGCTAGACTTGCTATACCTCTGATCAAAGCCTCTTAAATCTTTTTCATTCTTCCAGCACATGCATACAGGAGGTGTGACTCTAATGGTTCCTGGGTGCTGGCAGAGAGCTCAAACAAGACCTGGGTCAACTACACTGAATGCATCAAATCCCCAGAGCCCAACAAAAAAAGAGTAAGCTAGATTACCATCAGAGCTCTTCATAGGACCAATATGGCCTTCCAGTGGCTTGACTCACAAAACTCTTTGTCCTCACAGCAGGTCTTTTTTGAACGGCTGCACATCATGTACACAGTCGGCTATGCAGTTTCTTTCAGCTCTCTTCTAGTGGCCATCTTTATTATCGGATATTTCAGGTGAGGAACGGACTGTCTGTTTGATGTACCTTATCTTATAAACCCTAAGAAAAAGAGTTTAACTGATGCCTCAGATCAAAACCAAACTCCAATATTGTATTTCTATTTCTATCAAAATGTAGTTTTATAAATGTGATACAGTCGTGTTTTCTCTCTCTGTGTTCCATTAGCAGCTCATTGAACATGTTTTGAGTTCAATGAGAACATGCCATTCACTGGAACCTGCCAATATTCACACAGAGTAAAGGAAGTGACTAGTCACATTTTTAATTTATTTTAAGGTAAATATAGACCACTGAAAGAAACACAAAGACTTTGATTGAAAATGTATCTGTGATTTGAGATAAATAATGAGCGGGACGGTGTTCAAAATGTATGCATTAAAAGGTAATAGAACGAAATGTCAATATTAATAGCACTGCAGGTGAGATGCAGGGAACAAAATGATGGCTAAATGTGTTTGTAGCTACGCACAGCATCTTACATGAGAAAGGTGTGGAATGGAAAATGTTATTTTTCCCTGGTTCTTTTATGCTTGTTGTTGTTGTAAATTTATATCCTACCATTTTATTTTTAAAATAACAGAAGTCTAGACTTTTCGGTCAGAATAGTTATAAAGTATCTCCTGATGTGCATTTTCCACCGAACATATATAAATAAAATACTTATTATGAACACCTCCACCTCCAATACCTGGTGAAATTTACTTGCCATACTTTTTTACAGGCTATGAAAACATGATCATTTTCCATTGCTTCATTAAAAAATAAATAAAAAGGGTAAACAAATTAGTAAATTAATCCATTATTTTTATCATTATATATACATTATATATACAGGGCTTGACATTAACTTTTTTAATCACCAGCCACTGTGACGGCAGTATGGCTGTAGTGATAGTAGGTTTTCAACATTTCTAGTCACTTGCCTTTTTTACTAGCGAAAATTTTGTTGTTGGCAAAATATATTTTATATGCATGAATTTGACTTTTGAATGCTAAAATTACTTTACTTAATTGATGTGTAATGTTCACACGCCTCCTTAACTTTTTTAAAACATGTCACATGACATTTTAGGACTCAGCACTAAGAATTTTTTTTCCTCTGGCCATACTAAACTAATTATTTTCTTGCCACAAATACAAAATAAATGTGTCAATACAAGCTAAATATAGCTGTATACATACACTTTTTTTATTCAACAAAAATATTAGTTACAAACCAATTGACATTTAAAAATAATAATTCTAATTTATCTAAAACTATACACAGTAGTGTTTCCAGGCTAAAGGTCCCAGGTCATTAGGTAACTATAAATAAATGAAGAGTTAATCTCCTATTAAAGCAATGTTATTGTAAAGGATGACAATTAAACTGTATTAACTAAAATAACTGCAATCAGTAAAAAGCAGAAAAACATTTTGTGTGCGGTAGTGAATGGATAATCACGTGCACACTGTTAATGTTCATTTATTTATTTTCTTTTCGGCCTAGTCCCTTTATTAATCTGGGGTTGCCACAGCAGAATAAACCATAAAATTTATCCAGGACATTTTTTACGCAGCAGATGCAACCTATCACTAGGAAGCCCATTAATAATCTGTTCAAAGAATGGTAAAAGCGAAAGCGGCAACCACTGCTGCTTACAGGAAATCTGGAGCCCTTGAAAGCAGCAGGACTGTGGGTTCAAAGAGAAATGATCGCACCAGTTGCATTTTCAGACACGGTTGTTTTGCGCATTCGGTCCCTGCTCTCTTTTTTGCTTGCGCGAAAAGTTATCAGTCGTACTGCTTCTCAGTTTCTAATATCACATTTGCACACATATTGTCAAACAATATTAAACTAACATTCGAATCTTTAGAGACAAGGCTGCTCTGGCAGTTTAAAAAATTTTAACTCGCATTTGGCGGGCTGGTGGGTGTTAATGTCAAGCCGTGATTAAATATTCCATATAGTGTACACACAGAAACAGCAACATGTGGGCATGACATCACTTTGTGGCAGAGACGCTATTGGATAAATTCCGGCAAAGTAGAACAGGAAAGCAGCTTTAAGTGTAAGTTGCGGTCTGGAGCTTTTTATAAAGTTTCTGAGACTTTTTAGTGTTGTTGCAAATTACATAATATAATATAATATAATATAATATAATATAATATAATATAATATAATATAATATAATATAATATAATATAATATAATATAATATAATATAATATAATATAATATAATATAATATTCAACATTTAGCAGTTTTTTTTAAAGTCTTGAAAGTGAATGAGCCTTACACAGAACTAAGGTCTTCTGTGTTTTTCTCACCATAGGGGTCAGAAACAGCACTATGTTTTGAGAGTAGCCTTGACTCCTGTACTTCAAGACAACAAAAGCAGACACTTTTAAAATGTTACCTAGGAGAAAATGTGTTGATAGGTGTATTTTGTCAGGCACTGATGTAGTCAGTCCACTGCATTAGACACTTCAAAGTGCATAAGAATACAGTCATGCTGCAGCCTGGGTGTGATTCTTTCTTCACAGCTTATCTGATCTCATCCACAGTATTCACACAGAGCATGTCATAGCTGCTGTTTTGAAAGAATCTTTTATTTTTCTAATACCAAGCAAGAAAAATATCAAATACTGTATGGTTTAGTGATTGCGCTGTAATTACATAAATATTTAATCTGAGACCTGTTGACATCACCTGTTTAAAAACACATTGTGTAACCAATTTACCTAATTACTAGCCCTCAATTGCTCATGTTGTTTTTGTGTTGCAAAAACCAAAATTGGAATATGTGTTAATTTTGAAAAAATAAAAAAAAACATATATATATATATATATATATATATATATATATATGTATATATATATATATATATAAATCATGAGGAACACATTAAATGATGTTTGTTTTATTGTCTGCAATGAAATACAATTCAAATTAAATTTAAAAATCACCTCTTTTTTTATTTCCATAGTCTATACTGTCCCAACTTTTGATTTGGCATCATAATGTAATATAAAAAGTAACACTTGATTTTGATGGTCCATTTGAGATTTAGTAGACTGCCTGCTTAATATCTGTTGATAATGCTGCGAAATATAACTGACTATAAGAAACTTTGCAAGTACATGTCAACTTACACTAACCCTAACCCCAACCGTAACCCCAACCTAACAGTAAACTTATAATCTAATAAGACTTAGTTTCTATATAGATACAACGTATCTTAAATTCAACAAACAAACCATCAAAATAAAGTGTGACAATATAATATAATATAATATAATAAAATATAATATAATATAATATAATATAATATAATATAATATAATATAATATAATATAATATAATATAATATAAAAATATAAAATATAATATAGTATAATGTAATGTAATGTAATGTAATGTAATGTAATATAATATAAAATAAAATAATATAATATAATATAATATAATATAATATAATATAATATAATATAATATAATATAATATAATTATAATATAATATAATTATTTTTTTTATTATTTTTTTTTTATTTATTTATTTTTTATTAGTATATGCAAAAATCATACAAATACAAGAAAACATCAACAGATAACAAATACAAAGCAACAAAACAAAAACAACAAAAACATCAACAATATAGTCAGGTACTGGTATGTGCGTGTGAGTGTGTGTATGCATGTAAAGGTAACTTAATATAATATAATATAATATAATATAATATAATATAATATAATATAATATAATATAATATAATATAATATAATATAATATAATATAATATAATATAATATTTCAGTGATCATTGTGATTATCCACACATTCACTAAAGTCATAAATGTACAAACATTGTATAATTAATTTTTATGTTATGCATCAGACTTGGGCTTTTTTTGTGAACAGATGGTCACTGAGTGTATTGGTATTGCATTCAGGCTGTGTGCGTCCCTGGTGACAATAAAAGATGAGAGGGATGCGCACAGTAGAGAACAGGTTGAAAGCGAATGCGTTCACTACATATAAATACAGTACATCGCAAATTAAGTGGTGTCCAATTAGTCTGTGATCATAAACTACAGTGTCACTAAACATTTTATCTTTATTAGCAACCTTTTAGCAGTATGTTCAAATGATATTAGTGCAGTTTTCAGGATGAACTAAACATTTCCTTATTTCTCCCAAAGGCACATTATCTCAGAGTCTGCCGTCATTTTCATACTCTGACCTAATCAGTGTACTGTGTATTTCTGTGTGTCTTCAGACGACTCCACTGCACCAGGAACTACATTCACATGCACCTGTTTGTTTCCTTTATGCTGCGTGCCGCCAGCATCTTTGTGAAGGATCACGTGGTGCACACTAGCGCCGGGCTGCAGGAATTTGATGCTGTGCTCATGAATAACTTCACCAATGCTGTGGATGTGGCACCAGTGGACACTTCACAGTATGTGAGTCAATCTTTTAAAATGAAATATTTATCAAGTATCTTATGTGGCCTATGTTAAGAGTAGGCAATGGATATTTGTATTATATTGTGTCTTAGTAATGTAGTTATCATTAGGATGATTTTCCAAATATTTTCTTTGAGCTGTGACAAATTTAAAAACAGATGGATTGGTGGATAGATAAATTTAATGATAGTTTGTCTCTACAAATAGTTATTTTAATCAACTTCTTACAACATAATCAATGTAACCACCTTCTTGCACGAAACCATGGAGACATTTGTGAGAGACGATTCAGAACATAATGTTTGATGTGGTGTAGATCCTGAACTGTGTCTATTTGAACAGTACTACACAGAATAATAATAATAAAAACACTCGCCTGCTGCAGCCAAGGTATGGCAGCAAAGTTAAATGATTATTATGCTGAAATGAGAGTTTAGTTCTTAATCATACTGATCTAGAATTTTCATTTTTCATTGGTCTTAGTGCACAATGTAACTACAGTAGAGTCAAACTTTAAATAGAAAAGATTATTTAAAGTCTTTGATTATTTTTTAACAAGATGCTAATAGTCTAATCCGGTTCCATTATCTATGCTAAGCTAAGCTAAAAATGCTCCTACCAGACCCAGAGAATGATTAAATGGATTCAGATATGATAAAAATCTGTTTAACTCTAGACGAGCTGTACATATTTTTTATTTTTTAAGTTGAGTGTTTCTTTTAGTTGGAAAAAAAAGTCTTGGTGAAAAGTTTTTTAATTTTTTTATATTACATATTTTTTCATTCACTTTGGTGCATTTCTCTGATCATAATTGACATTTACAAAACTGTGCATTTCTCAAAACAATGCATGCAGATAATAAAACACCATGGATTACCTGCAAAACCCAGATTCTTGGTCAAAAGCCTTAGTTCATCTTTCAAAACTAAATTTCTCTAGCAATGAGCGTGTCAGTGCTGTCATGACAAATCTTTGTGCCATTGTGTGTGGATAAGACAGTTAAATTACTTAGTCATGTTTTCAATACAACAATCTACGATGGGGTGGTGTTCTAATGTGAACTATGACAATTCTTTTTTTTTGTACTATGAATCTCAATTTTATGTTGACAGATCTTGTTATTGTGATACTGAAAGAAAAAGACAGCATTGTGTAGCACAAAAGAAAAACTAAACAAAAGTAGAAATAAGAACGAGGACAATCTCCTTCCAGATGCACCTTCATTAGAAAAAGTCAAGATTCACCTGGGGGAAATATACCAATTGCAGACAGATTTGGAAAATAAAGTCTAATAAAAATGTATAGAAAAAGGCATTTTGACTAAGTATTATGACCACATGTTCAACCATTGTGCATTTAAAGGCTTAAGCCATTAACAAGCAATTAAGGGCCCTACCATACACCCGGTGCAATGTGGCGCAAGTCGTGACGCTATTGTTGTTTGCTAGTTTCATCTTGGCGCAAAAGTCGTTTTGACACAGGATGTACAGCAATACACAAATATCTTTACATATGAAAAAGAATTAAAATATTAAGGATATATATAGGATGTAATAAGGATATATAAAGGATATACATATAAAGGATTAAAGTGTTACAAAACATTATTTTCTAGCCTACATAAATATAAAAAAATACTTTCATGCCTTTTTTTATGTCGGGAGGCTTTTTCAGTTTATTCATGACAATTTGCTTTTGAATAATATTATTATTAGCAGTTTTTATTTATTTTTATTTTTTATTTATTATATATAAGCATATTTATATTTGTTTTATTAACTACAAGCTTATATTTGCTCACCTGTCAAGTTTTAGACCATATAGGGCACAGCATGTGTATTAGGCTATAACTCAGTTTTTTGCTATGTGATCTACATAGAACTTTTCATTAGTGGTGGGAGAACCATCGATTTAACATAGTTTTGCAATATTTTCTTTTTTTTTTTTTAAGATTTATTTTTGGCCTTTTTTGCCTTTATTATTTGATAGGACAGTATCGAGATAGGAAGCGAAGTGGGAGAGAGAGAGGGAGTAGGGTAGGGAAATGTCGTCAAGCCGGGATTCGAACTCACGACGCCCTGACGTGCTATTGCACCATATGTCAGCGCGCTAACCACTAGGCTATTGCGCCGACAGTTTTGCAATATTTTCTGAAGCCAATATCGACAATATCGATATTTTGTCAGGTTTTTACTATACTATTTGCAGTCCTCTGCAGTAGTTTGGGTGGTTTGTTTTTTGTTTTTTTGGGTTCCAGCATGCAGTAGGCTAGAGATGGTGGCATCGCAGAAAGGTGCATACAACTTTAAGACATAAACAAAGTGTTGATCTATTTGTCTGCTTGCCAATCCCATATTACACTGCAGCAATACAACTGAACGGAGTTAAGCAAGAAATGTTTCTGTTTATTTAAAACAAATGTATAAACGCATTGCAACATATTGCAGAATTTCACAGTATATTTCAAATTTCGTATTGTATCATGACATAAATATCATAATAATATCATATTGTGGGGAGTCTGGTAATTCCCAACCTATTCTTCATGACTACAATTTTAAAAAGCAATGTCATGCAAGATCATTGAAAGGCAAAGAAGGTGAAAATTAATCCTAGAAATTGGTATTTTAAAAAAAAGTTAATAGAAATTGATTTTCTCCTGCAGTTTTTAAAAAGTGTGCTGTTTTTTTTATTATGTATATGATTTTTAATAAAGGAAGGACCCTGTACAGATTTCAACATGCAGACAGACAGATACACAGTCATAGATAAAAAGATGGATAGATAGATAGATTTATAGATAGATAGACAGTCAGACATACAGATAGACAGAAAAGCGTGAATGAATCGATGATGTTATAGTAATCGATTAGATAGATCGATGGATGGACGGACAGACGGACAGACAGACATATAAATGAATTGATGAAGTTATAGTTATAGGATAGACAGACAGACAGTAATATGAATGAATAGATGCCATTATAGTTATGGATTAGATGGCTGAGATGGACAGATGAACAGACAGATGTAACAGATGTAATAGATGATTAACACATATGGAAGACTCTCCTAAATAATCTGCTTTCTGTTCCATACACTAATCATGCAGTGTGCGAAATGTGCCATTTGAATTAGTAACTCATGACTACCCAGGAACAATAATCATTGTAGAATATCATACCAGCTTGAAGACTGCATAGAGGCACAGCGAATTGTTAAATAAGTCTGGAGGAGAGGAAATTGAAAGAGGTCAAGTTGGGTCCAGAGTGAAGTGACATCTGTGTGAGGCCTGACTCCAAATCTGATTACGGTGGAGAATAAATATTTTAATGCCAGCGCAAGGTCGTGCCCCATCATGACACCTGGTTTGGCTGAAATTGTGGAACAAAATGCCAAAGATAGAAGTGAAAGGTTATTGTATTGCAAGAAGCGCTCAATCTCATCTTTTGCAGCATGTACTGGAGGGCTTTTGTTTCATAGCATCTCCAATCTCCACCCTAAAGCTTGCTCACAGCTTGTCTGAGTGTTTCATTATGCTCTTCGCCCACCACACGGCCAGCCTCAACAATCTATGCATAACGGTTAAAAAAAAAGCTCACTTGTCCCCGTTTGCTGTCTTTAGGGAAGGAAATGCTTATCCATTCCCACCTACACTCAGACTCAAACTGTATTGGTGCTCATTGCAGAAACAGTGCAACAGTGGAAACTCCCGTTGACTTGGCCCTCAGCTTTTTATTCAAACAGCTGCAATGCAGAAGATAAAAGCAATGGATCCAACATTCAAGGGGAGGATTTTGCAGCCAGTTGTTTAGCATCCATAGCTGCAGTGTTTATGTTAGGTGCAAACAATGTGTCTGCAGAGATCAAAGACAGACATACTAGGCTTTGATCTGTTTGTTTACCTATAATATGATGTAACTAAATGTAGCGCGCTGCGTTTTCTATAGATCAGTGCACCAAACAGTCATACCAATAGGTGGCTATTACTCTAAGATTTCACGTTTTGAGAAACCTGCAGGATATTTCCTGTCCTTAGTTTTTCTGTAGCAGAACAGCATGACAGCAGAACTTGTTTAGAGGCGAATATTTATATGTGTTTTTAGGGACAATAATTGTGAACAGGCTTGCTTGTCATTCTTTTTCTGTCCTTCATGCATGTAAAAAGTAGTTGTTTATATATTATATTATATTATATTATATTATATTATATTGTATTATATTATATTATATTATATTATATTATATTATATTATATTATATTATATTGTATTATATTATATTATATTATATTATATTATATTATATTATATTATATTATATTATATTATATTATATTATATTATATTATATTATATTGTGTTGTGTTGTATTGTATTGTATTATATTATATTATACTATATTATATTATATTATATTATTATATTCATTTTGTGAATAGAAGGGCATTTTACACACTTTCGTACAATATTCGTCTTTTGGATGAGACATTAAAATAGGGATGCACCGATACCTTTTTTTGGAACTGATTCCAGTGTTCCTTTAAAATTTTTTCCAGCTGTGGCGGCAGGCCTTTTACATAGATCTACCAACTACATATGGCATTATTTCAATGACAAGTGTCGTGAGAGCGATATTACAAGTCAAGATCGTATTTATGTAATACGAGCTCTTTGCTTGCGTGCCGATTTCCTGTTTGTGCACAAAACTTCTTGCGCCCTTTCAAATATATGCTGCTCAAGTGCAGAATATCTTGTGCGCTCTCAATGAACCCTGCTGAAGTGTGATTTAGTCCGTTTATGTAACAATTATGTCTCCAACATTTATTAGATTTGCTAGAAATATTTATGAATGTCTCCAATAGACCTACAGAGCGGCATTAATGCTTCCTTAAGTAAAGTGAAACAGTTATAAACTCCATCGTATGAAGAACCATAGACCTTTGTCTTAAAGTGTAATTATGTAAACTGTGTTCATCATAACTGAAAGCTACGTTG